AAAAAAAAAGTAAAAATTTTCAACTACAATTAGTTAAGATGACTGCTTCTTCCCACTGTATTGGACTTTCCCTAGAATCAGGTGAGGTCAAAGAGGCCACAAGGACTTGAGGATCCAACTAAAGGGAAGCTGCACTGGAGATGGAACTGGTGTCCTTACGAGCTCTCCTGGTGTGGACAGAAATAATCTACAAATAATCCTGTCATTCACAGTGTGCCATGACCATCCTGAACCAGAGGTCACATCCCAACGTAAATGATTCCACACACATCGGAGATTATTTCAGTCATGACATGTATAAATTGTCCCTTCATAGTAACTCAGAAAGGAAGTTCTCTCTCATAAGGAAGACGCATAATCTACATGATAATTAGCCACTGATGTTCTTTGCATAGTTTTTCTTTTAACTTTGGTACAGGATCTCACTATGCAGCTCGGACTCATAGCAATCTTTCTGTTTTCAGCCTCCCCAGCACTGGGATTACAGGCGTGCACCACCACGCCCAGTCTTGGTGGCCAGCTCAGCACACGCTGGCACAGCATGAGGTACTGGGGCTCATATCTGGCAGGCAGAAACTTAGATTGCTGAGCTATCTCTTTTCTTTAGTCCTAGGGCTTCAACCCAGGGTCTTTGTGCTGAGCTACCTCCCCATCCCATTTTTTACTTTTTATTTTGAGACAGGATCTTGCTAAGTTTTCCAGCTTGGGTTCAAATATGTGCTCTTTCTCTTTAGCATTCCAAGGTACTGGGATTATAGGCCTGTGCCATAATCTTTTATTATGGGGGTGCTGAGGATGAAATTCAGGGCCTCCCACGTGCTGGGCAAGTGCTCAACCACTGAGCTACACCCTCAGTCCTAGTTTTCTTTTGAAAGGAATTTGTTGTTATTGTCTTGTTTTTTAAAGGAATTATACCAAGTAAATTTTATTAAAATTCCTATCACAAATACTAAGCACAGGGCCAGGGAGATTGTTCAGTGGAATAAGCGCTTCCCTGGCAAGTGCAAGGGCCTGAGTTCAATCCCTGGTTCCGCAAAAAAAAAAAGAACCTAAGCACAGTGGTACATACCTGTAATCACAGCACTCAGGAGGCTGAAGCAGGAGGATTGCTATAAGTTCAAGGCTGGGCTGGGCTACATAATGAATTCACGAGCAGCCTGGAGTATACCTTGCCTCAAAAAAAAAAAAAAGAAAAGAAAAGAAAAGAAGAAAGAAAGAAAAAGAAAAAACAAACAAAATTAAAGAAACGCAAACAAAATTCCTAACACAGTTATAAACAGTTGGGGCTGGGGAGATAGCTCAGTAGAATAAGCGCTTGCCTGGCAAGTGCAAGGTCCTGAGTTCAATCCCCAGTTTCGGAAAAAAATAAAAATAAAAAGTTATAAACAGTACTACAAATAACAAATATGTCTACATGTGAAGTGTTTTATTTTTTCTATGTATTTAGTACAGGGTCTACAGAGTCTCATTATGTAGATTGGACTCCTAATGATTCTCCTGTTTCTTTTCCTTTTTTTTTTTTTTTTTTTGGTGGAACCAGGGATTGAACTCAGGCCCTTCAGCTTGCCAGGGAAGCGTTTATTTCACTGAACCATCTCCCCGGCCCCTGATTCTCCTATTTCCAGCTTCCCAAATTCTGGGATTACAGACTGCACCACCAAAGCCAGTCTCAGTTGCCCTCTCAGTGCACCTCCGGTGCGGGTGTGGCCGACACAGCAGGCTGGGGATTGAACCCCAGCTGGCCGCTGCACTCTGCCTAAGCAGGCGCTTTAGTCCACTGAGTTATCTGGCTGGCCCTTGTGAAGTGTTTCATATATCCCAACTACCAAGAATAATTTCTATTTTTGTGTGTGATGTTAGGGGTGACCCCAAGTCCATCCTAGGAAAGTACTCTACAACTGAGCATATCCTTAACCCAGAACCAGTTTTTTGGAGTACTGGTTCAGTACTGGTGGATTTTTGTTTATTTATTTATTTATTTAGTTAGTTAGTTAGTTAGTTTGGCGCTACCAGGGATTGAATGGATTTTTGAACAGACTGCAGAGTTTGCTACCTGACAGGATGTATTAAGAAGAATTCAAGGGGCTGGTGGGATGGCTCGGTGGTCTGGAGCACCTACTTAGAACAAGCGAAGCTGAGCAAAGCACAGGGACCAAGGTTCGATCCCCCAGCACCACACATGCCAGCCAGCCCCGCCCCCTGGTGGGCGGAGCTGGCCACACACACACACACACACACACACACACACAATAAATAAGTAAATAAATAAATATTTTTTTTAAAAAAAGAAGAAGAATTCAAAAAAAAAAAAAGCAGAAGAATTCAGAGCCAGGAATGATGGTCCCTGCCTCTCTGGAAGGCTGGGGCAGGAAGATCACAAGTTTGAGTGTGTCTTAGGCAATTTAGCAATTTAGCGAGATCCTTTTTCAAAATACAAAGGGCTAGAAATGTACCTTTGTGTGAGGTCTGGGGCTCAAACTCTAATACCAGAACAAAAATCCACAAAAGATGCATGCTTCCTGTTCTGGGCTTCATTCTTAAGGAGAGGAGAGCAGGAAGCTAAGCTCCCATTCTCCATGCTGGGCCACTGTCACCTGACATCCAGGACCTTACTCTGCCCTCAGGGCTGCACTGCAGGGAGCCTCTTATCCTAGAGGCTCAAGCCTCAGGGATGACTGAGGATCACCCCCAAATCACTCAACTGGGCCGTGATAGTCTGGAGCAGGTGCCAGGGCTGGCGGCCTCCGAGCCTCTCTCTCCCCATTCAGGACACCAGGGCCACAGAAGGCCTGGCAGGCTAGGCTGGCCAAGGCCCAGGGACACAGCCCAGCTGAGGACCATCCACCCTCCTCTCCCCTCCCCCATGCCCCTGAAACCTAGGGCAGACACTGTATGTCCCGACCACAGGTGTGCGGCTTTGCAACATCTGCAGAACAGAAGGCAGCAAGGGCCACGGCAGTAGCCACTCACTCTGGGAAACTCAGTCATTTTTTTTGCACAACTAATCCAGCTGACACAGACGAACAAACAAGGACTTTGAGGTCAGACAGGTCTGAACTCTGTCCCTTCCTGTTGGAGTAACCATGGACAGAGCACTTCACTTTTTCTTCTTCACAGAGGGAAAATCTAAGTTGCAGGGAAGCTCAGGATAGTAGAGTGGGATGTGACTGACACATAGTAGGTGCTCAACAAGTGGCATCTGTATTTCATAATCATCATAGCACAGCCTCTCAGGAGCTGCAGAAATCCAGGCTGGGATCGGGGCTCTGAAAGACCTTATCCCTGTAGGGCCCCCAGAAGGGGAGTCAGAGGAAGGGGCCTCTCAACTGCACCTTGGGCAAAGTCCTCCCAGCCCCCTGCATCCTGGCTCCCTTCCCTGCAGCCTGTTTCTTGCCAACAACAAGAGCAGGGCCCCAAGGTTAGGCAAACAACAAGTGATAAGGCACTTCCAGGCTGGGCCTTGTGTTCAAGGCTTGCCCAGCTCTGCGGCTGGCTTCCTGGCTTAGCAAGAACCCCAAGCCTGTGCGCACATTCAGAGCAGGCACCAATAGAACACCAGTCACAGCCACCTGCTGATTGTGCACCTGAGGCCTTGGTGCCCTGGTACAGCCTGGGTTAATGACCCTGTTTATCCGCTTGAGTCATCTGATAAGGAGCAGCCGTGCAGTGGGCAGGCAGCCCTGTCTGTGGCCACTTCATTGAGTGAGGCGATATCAATGCCACGTGGAGCTTCCAATGTCCCCTCCCCCGCCACTTCCCCACCAGTCCTGGTGGGGTCAGTGTGTGTGTGCTGTTTTTTTTCAATGAACATGACTTCTAGAGTCAAGGTTGTTGAGCCATTCCCCTTCCCGCCCAGCAGGGATATAAATAGCACCCACACTGAAGCTCAAAGGGCCAGAGAGCTGGGAAGAACTAAGAGCAGGTCTCCAATCATGAGCTCCAGCCAGCCAGGGGCCTGCCCGTGCCAGGGTGCTGTGGGCCGCCCAGCCATTCTGCATGCACTCCTGAGCCCCAGCCTCCGGACCAGGCCCCCCACTCCCCCATCCCGCTGCCTATGTAGACAGCACAGACCCGTCCGCCTGTGTGCGCCTCACCGCACCTGCCGGGAAGCCTTGGATGTCCTGGCCAAGATGGTGGCCTTCCTCAGGAACCTGCCATCCTTCTGCCAGCTGCCCCCGCAAGACCAACGGCGTCTGCTGCAAGGATGCTGGGGCCCCCTCTTCCTGCTTGGGTTGGCCCAAGACACTGTCACCTTTGAGGTGGCTGAGGCCCCAGTGCCCAGTATACTCAAGAAGATCCTGCTGGAACAGTCCAGCAGCGGGACTGGCAGTGACCAGCTGCCCGACAGGCCCCAGCCCTCACTGGCTGCTGTGCGGTGGCTTCAGTGTTGCTTGGAGTCCTTCTGGAGCCTTGAGCTGGGCCCTAAAGAGTATGCCTACCTGAAAGGAACTATCCTCTTCAATCCAGGTGAGCTCCTAGACAGGGCTTTGGTGGGAGGGGAAAAGGAAGGGATCAATAGATCTTCTTCTAGCGGCTGCACATCTGTCCTCTCTTTTGGTCCTCGCTGCCATCAAATAGCTGTGCCACAGAAATGCCCAGAGAGGCTAAGCAACTAGCTAAAGGTCTCACAGCCAGGTAGAGCCAGAGAAGGGATGAAAACTGCCATCTGTGCCCTCCAGACACTACCCTGTGACTCTGGGCCTGAGAAGCTTGCTCTGAGCCTAGTGGTGTGGGGGGAGAGGGGCAGGGCAGCAGTGTCTCGTCTTCAAGGGCAGGCTGTGTGGTGACATTCTGAAGGCTAAACTCCTTCGTGGGTTCTGAAAAACCACATAAAGGAGAGGAATGGAAGGGATTCTGGGGGCAGGGAGGGAGCACTCGGGAAGTCCCTGCTGGGAGAGCCACAGAGAGAGAGCACACACTCACCACAAGGCCCTCCTGGGCTCGGGAAGCACAGTGACCTGTTGTAGTCACCGAAAATACCAGTGCTACACTTGCCATATGGTAGAGCCAGTTCTCAGGGGATTTTCTTTTGTTTTGTTTGTTTTTCAAGATAGGGTCTCACTATGCAATTCAGGTTGGTTTTAAACTTACTATGTTGCCCAGGCTGCCCTCAAACTCAATGATCTTCCTGCCTCAGCCTCCCAAGTGCTAGGAATACAGGCATAGGCCATTACACTTGGATTCTAAGGGTTTTACATATACTGGTTCATTAAAGCCTCATAATAATAATGAAAAAAAAAAGCCTCGTAATGCTGGGCATGGTGGTACACACGTGTAATCCCGGCACTCGGGATGATGGCTGCAAATTCAAGGCCAGCCTGAGCTACATACTAAGTTCAAAACTAACCTGAACTACATAGCAAGACCCTGTCTCAAAAACAACAACCAGGGGCTGGTGAGATGGCTCAGTGGTCTAAAGCACCTACTTAGAACAAGCTTAGCAAAGCACAGAGACCACGGTTCAATCCCCCAGCACCACATGCCAGCCAGGGTCGCCCCCTGGTGGGCTGAGCTGGCCACACACACACACACACACACACACATAAATAAATAAATAAATAAATAAATAAATAAAATTAAAAAAAAAAAAACAACAACAACCAAAAAATGCCTCATAACAAGACAGGGCCAGTGAGACAGCTTAGCAGCATAAACATCTGCCCTGAGTTCGATCCCCAATACCACCACAAACAAAACAAACAAACAACAACAACAACAAAAAACCCCAGGTATTATTATTGTCCTCAGTTTACAGATGAAGAAACTGAGGCACAAAGATTACATAACTTGCCCAAGGGACTTGCACCCAGGCAGTCAAGTTCTCAACCATTCTTTTTTTTTTTTTTTTTTTTTTTTGCAGAACCGGGGATTGAACTCAGATCCTTGAGTTTGCCAGTCAAGTGCTTATCCTACTGTGCCACCTCCCCGGCCCCGTCAACCATTCTTATATATTGCTCTTTAAAGGGGACGGGTGACTAAATTGATAATACAGGCCTCAAAGGTCAAGTAAAGGTAACAGGGGACTTGGAAGGATAGTCCAGTAGCACAACTCTTGTCTGGTGTGTGAAAGGCTCTGAGTTCTACCCCTAGTCCTGCAATGAGAAAGGGGTCACTGAAAAGCATCTGCTGGTGGCCTCAGATCCAGGGCAGCTTTCTCTTGGTGGCAGGGTGGGGGTGCTCACAGGGTTCTTCACCTCTGCACCCGCAGATGTGCCCGGCCTTCATGCCTCCTCCCACATTGGGCGTCTGCAGCAGGAGGCTCACTGGGCACTGTGTGAAGTCCTGGAGCCCTGGTACTCGGCAGGCCAAGGCCGGCTGGCCCGTGTCCTCCTCACAGCCTCCACCCTCAAGAGCATCCCCCCCAGCCTTCTTGGGGACCTCTTCTTCCGCCCCATCATTGGAGACGTGGACATCGGTGGACTTCTTGAGGACATGCTTTTGCTGAGGTGACCTGAGGGAGGAGGCACCCCAGGCGCAGTCCCTCACTCAACCATGTTCCTGGCCCGGACTTCATTGAGAGGACACAGTACTCCGGCCTCCTAGCAGGGCTTTGATGGTTCCCAGAGTCTCCTGAAACAGGGATGGAGGTTCAGGCTGCCCACTGTGCCGGATTCCTACTATCTTTGTATAGAACTGAATTAAGTTATTGTTTTTATAATAAAAGGTGTCATACCCTAGAGCCTGATGGTGTGGTCTATGCACGTGGAAAGGCCTGGTTCTGCTCCAGGGCTCAAGGGAAAGGAGCCACAAGAAGGCAGGAGCCAGCCTCGGGCAGTTGCAAGCCTGATTCATCACAATAGAATGGTGATTTCATTTCTGGGGATGGTGTGAGTCCAACCACCTGGTCTGACTCCAAGGGATGCTATCAGCTGAAAACGTCATCCCCTCCTTGCCTTTATCCTTGAGGAGGTGTTCCTCTCCTTGACCCCAGATCTTCCAAGCTCTCTAGGGTTCCTGCTTTCCACAAGGTCTCTATCACCTCAGGAAAAGTAGGGTCACAGCCCACCAGGAAACAGCCTATTTCCAAATTGAAACAGACAAGGTCTCTGTGATTTCTGCAGTTTGGGAAGATTCATGTCCCTCCAGCTGTGCAGCTGACAGAAGAGAATGGTCCACACTGTTCCCAATGCAAGGGGGTCCAGGGCTGGGGCTAGGGTCCTGAAGCGTCTTGGAGACTGAGGCAGGCTAAGGTCAAGGGGGCTCACAGCGGCAGGACTGTACCCGCTAGCCAAGTCTGAAACACTTCCATGACAGCCCTGAGTCCTCTTCCACTGCCCCTCTGCCCAGCTCCTGTCGCAGAACCTCCTCCTGGACACTCCCATCCAGCCACTGGGAAGCTGGGCTTAGCCTCCAGTGCTGCTCCATTCAGAGAATGGCTTGGTCTGGTCTGATTGATCCATGTCTGCACCTCCATTCTTGCTAAATATTCTGGCCGAATTGCAGGGTGACTGACCTCAGGATGAGCAGGAGGACATGATAACAACACACACATCTATAGGGCTTGCCAGCTCCTCCTGTCTCCAGCAGTAAGGGCTGCTCTGATCAGGCCTCACCCCTGTGCTACCAGTTTGGATTCTTCTCCCAGGGGGCCAGGTTAATTATTGCTCAGGAAGAGGTCATTCTTTCAAGGACAATGGTCTAGGAGTGATCATGCAGGCCTTTCTCTACGGCCTCCAGGTTAGCACCATGCTAAACTGGCCATGTACCTAGGACAGCACTCAGCACCAGCAGAAGGCACCCATGTCCCTTACCAAGTTGCCCACTCACAAACACGACACCCAAGAGAACAGGAACACAATCAGACTCCACAAAAGACACCCACAACTCAGATATAGAACTCAGGGCTGGGGATGTAGCTTAGCAGTATAAGTGCCTGCCTGGCAAGTGCAGAGTCCTGAGTTCGATCCCTGGTACCAAAAAAAAAAAGAACACAGACACAACTACATAGACAGACAACCTCCCCCCCACACACACCCCAGACCCTCCACCTCAGCACAGAAAAGCACAACCTGATACACTCACTTGGCACTATGCAGCAGATCCACACACAGACTCATATATCAAACCCAAGCCACACATTGCGTACTTTACATATAGCTCTGCTCCCAAAGGTGGGAGACACAACACAGGGACACCCTCACACCAGGTCATGTACCTTATCCTCCGTATGTTGTGGTAAAGAGAAAAGTAGGCATATCTGGCTTCTACTCATCTTCAGGATCTATCCAGGGCTTAGAAATCCAGGACATACTTTTCTGCCTACCACCTACATCTAGCCAATCACCCCTTTCTCTATGGTGACCCTAACATCCAAATGCCTCTCAATCAATCCCTCCAGCTAGGACCCAACCAAACCCCTAAATATAGTATGCTTTAAAAACTAGAGGGGCTGGGGCTGGAGAGATGGCTCAGTGGTCTAAAGCACCTACTTGAAACAAGCTTGGCAAAGCACAGGGACCGCGGTTC